AAAGAAGTTATAAAGATAATGGAGAATATGAAGGACAAAGTGAATGAGTGGGAGGACAAAGTGGATGAGTGGAAGGACACATGGCAAGACAAGAATGAAGATGGAAGAAATGGGTAGTTACTAAGTAGTTATTGCTGTATTTTTTCTTCTATAAATAGCCATTAATGGCTACATTGTAAAGGATCCAGAACTTAAATCAAAGACAATTGATTTCAATATTTTTTGTCATTTTCCTTATCTTAGGAGTAGTTTAACATAGATTTATATTTCGAAGCATTTATTTTCAGCATTTCCATTTCGAAGCATTTTATGCACTTTCTTTTCGAAGCATAGGAGTAGAGGTAAGTAAAGCAAAGCGTAGGACGGTAAGGGAAGCATTGTAAGTATCGGCGCAAAGTAGCAAACACCGCCAACAGAAGAAGAGAGAGATAAAAAAGAAAAATAAAAAGACAAAAAAGACAAAAAAGAGAGACGCCTGGCTGGGCATTTGCAAGGCACCAATGTGAATTTTAAAATATGAATATTCACATCATTAAATTGCTAATTGTTCAAAAAATATTTATAAAGGTATCAAAATTGAATATAAGGGCATAAGTGTCCAAGAAAATCGTGTAAATCAAGAAAATGGACTTTATGAAATAAAACTATACATACATGGGACTAAATGGGTTAAAAAATTCCTTCATGAACTTCTTGGATTAAAACACTTCTAAATTGGACTTATCAATAAAAATCCCTAAAATGAATTTTTCATAACTTTTAGCTTTAATTTTGGCATCCCACAAGCTCTCTTCTTCATTTTCTTCTTCTTTCTCGGTTTCTCTCTCTCTCTCTCTTTCGGCTGCTTCCAGCTGTATTTTCCCCTTTTTGTTCTCACGCATTCTTGAATTCTTGAATTCCCTCTCTTTCTTCCTCTTTCGGCCTCTCTTTCTCTCAGTCTCTCGGTTCTCTCTCTTTTCCCTTTTCCATGTTTTTGAGCTCAAAGTTCCAGCCAACAACAAATTGAGTACACTCACTATCTCTCTCCTCACATATAGCCAAACGTTTTCTATATTTCTCTCCACTGTTCCAAACTCCTCTTCTTAATTATATAATTATTTAGAATTAACTTAATTGCACATCAACTTAATTAATTAGGATTAGTTTGGCACACCAATTACACATTAACTTAACTTAATCATCACTTAGTCCTAACCAATTATAATTAACACTTGAATAACACTTAATTTACTGAATCATATCTAATTACACATCACACAAAATTTAATTAGCTTAATTTGACTCCCATTATAGCCCAATTAATAATATTTAATTTTACGAATCTAACTCAGATTTTTGGTCAAACTCTCCCAAAAGGCTGCAAAAAGGCTTCACGTATCAAATTAAACTTATTGCTACTATCAATTTCAGTGTCTCAAATCGCTAAGGCCTTCAATTTCAAATCAGACCCAAAATCCTTATAAATAAATTACATGTTTAAATTAGACACCTCCTAAATAGATTTAATTCATAATAATCATAATTCCTCAGACCTTATAACGTAATAAATTTAATTAACTCTAATTCGAATCCAGTTAATAAAATCTTAATTTTACCAAACTGAATCGAAACTTAATCGAATATTTAATTTAAGTTTCCAATTGGGTCAATACTTGGAATCAAACTGATTCTACTAATTAATCTCACTTCCTTAATCAATTTGGACCTTCAATTTATAATCCCAAAATAAATCATTATTACAATCACTTACCGATTGAGCTCCATAATTCTCATAAATTCCAAATTAAATCAGAGTAACGGCTAATTAAAATCCAAATCTTCTTAATTAATTAAATGTCAAATATAATAGGTGGCGGGGTTGTCACACAATCATTGGATTCAAAGAAAAATATTAGCAAATCAAAATCCAAATAAATCGAAAAGCGGTTTCTCCAATAGTAGTACAAAATAATTTTTCGACTACAAATGTTAAACTTAACGTTTGAAGCAAAGTGACTAATACCTCGTAGAAAAATCTCATAAGATCAAATTAGCCTATTTAATATATGAGGAACAATTACTACAAAAAATTATTTTCAAAATCATAAATTTTTAAAAATCAAAATTTCCCACCGAGAAAATTTTCAGACCAAGTCAAAATATAATAGAAAACCTTTTTAATGCAACTATCTCTATAGGAAAAAGAAATGAGGGTCCGGTCTCGATCCTCGACCCGGGCCATTGAATGCCCTGAGGTCAATCTTGAGCTCAATCTAGAAATATGTGCTAAGTTTAATCAAGGAAAAATCTTCCTTGAATTTTGGCCTACGGTTTGTCCTAAGCTCAATCTAGACATATGTTCTGAATTCAATCTTGAGTTCGAGTAACAAATTTGCCTTGAGTTCTTCTATGGTGTCAAGACTAAATTTGAGTCTGAAGTCTCAAAAACCAAGGCTGAATTCAACTTTGACATTGAAACTGGTGATGGATTTGAGCCAGAAATTGAAGGTGAATTCAACTTTGAGGTCAAGTCTGAGACGGAATCTATGGAGCATGAGTTTATATCGTGTTTTAGAGATATTGCCACTATCGTATTGTTGATTATACGTGGTTAAGTGATGCTTGAGATGATTCATATAACATTTTTGTGGCAATTGTGCCTATATTATTCATTTTTATGAGTTTCATTGCATTTAGTAAATTTATGCATTTAGGATCATGCATCTTTATTTTCGAACCCACTCCGTTTTGGCTAGGTGCAGAGGAGTACAAAGTGAGCCTTTTTCATTTCTTTTGCATATTGCTTGTGTTTGCTTTCTTTCTATGTCTAGATAACTACCATGAGGCTATTTTCTTATAGTTAAGATATCTCTATGATTGCTCATTAGTTGGAGGACATTTAGCGTAAGGTGGGAACGCCTCTATCCCTCTCACAAGAGTTTTTCATCTTTCTTTTTTCGAAAAACTTTCAATAAAATATTTTTCATCATAGAAGATAAAATCTTTCAAAAATAGATGATTTACTTCATATTTGTCTTCTTTACGTAGTAAGGTTAGCATTAATAAATTAGAATATGAATGTATTTTGGCATTGAGTTTCATATCAACAATTATTTATTCAAAGGTTTATCTTTAAGGTGTATAATGTAGATTCAAAGTTATTGTGCTATGATACGAGCCACACTTGGATGAATGTGATTCATATATATATATATATATTGAATTATTTTTTAAGAATATATAGTATTATTGTACACATAATCATTAAAAAGAATTTGAATAAAAAAATTGTGGATAAAACAATAAGTACATATAATTTTATTTATTTATTTTTTTTTATACTAGTACTAACATAAATATGCTTGCATATATGATCACTAAAATTATTTATTAAAATTTACTTATGCAGATTAAGACATGAAGAAAATTATTAAAAAATGTAAAAATTTAGCTTTGTTGCTATAAAATTTAGTAAATTCAATTTACAAACATCACCCAATCTATTAAAAAAGAGATGAAGAAAAAACATCAAACAAAGCGTAAAATAACAGTAAATTCAATTTACAAACATCACCCAATCTATTAAAAAAGAGAAGAAAAAATATCAAACAAAACCTAAAATAACCTAAGACCTTGGGTTTAGTAAAGAAAATTCTTACCATTGGGATGACATACAATATATAATGAATTTTTTATTTTATTTTTACTTATTTGAATTGTATACACATCATACGTGTCGGTTGGTAGCTACTAAATAAGTTTACATATAATTTACAAGCATATTAATTTGAATTGTGAAGTTAAATTAGTTAGTTTGAACCTTTATTTTTAAGCTAACTAACACTATAAGAGTTAAAATTATGGGAGATTTATTAGGAAATCATTTTCTAAGTACTTGTATCTTAATTAGTTCATAAAATATTCTTGTATTCCAATTAATCCTTTTGAACATTTGATCCACCAATGCTTAATTCTCATATTTAATGTATTTTATGAAAAAATTTACCCTTACAAATATTTTTTGAATGCTTAGTAGCTTGGTAATGTGAACATTTATATTTGATAGTGTGAACGTTAATATTAACAGTGTGAATGTTCACATCCCGAAACATTTACACTGTTAATCTGAATATTATTATTATGAGTATTTTAATAAATATGTCATTCATAAAACTTATTAAAATATAAAAAAAAATAATTTAAATTCAGTAAAATATAAATAGATGAAGATAAATTTATAAATAAATACCCTTAAAATTATTTAAGAACCCTTAAAATTTAACAAAATTCGAGGACACAAGCAACCCACTTTGCTCACCTTAGGTCAGATCCGTCCAAAGAAAGATGTTAGTGGGCATGGACACACCAAAAGGATGGCGCAAACCTCGTAATTTGGGTTTATTGTATCTTGAAGATAAATTTATCGTAATCTCATATGTACCATCTAGTGAGAGTAAAAATATATTTATAAAAGCGATATTGTAACGGATCTTGAAACGTTTTAATCAAGTCAATTTTAACAATAGTTCATTATCGCCAACATCGTTCAAGGAATTTGCACCAACAATCCTGGCCTTTATTGCAAAATGTGTAGTATTATTTACTTATCTTTTAATGTCCGAAGAATCAAAATATAGAAAATATTAAAATATAATATTTTAATCAATTCGATTACTATTAGTGTTAAAATGTCATAATTGAAACTGACCACCCATTATTGAAAATCGATCAAAAATCGAAATCTTGATTGGTCTTAGAGATCAGTACAATTCTACCGATTTTCCCAAGTTTAGTTGTATTAATTAAGATTTTCAAACAATTTGAAAGTTCAAAAAATGATCATGGAACCATGTGCGAGTTATAGAATTTTGAGCATAACTCGCACTATAACTTAATAAAAATGAGAGAATTTATTTACACAAAATGATAATACAAACCATCTCATTGGTTGAACTCACAAAAAAGTACAAAATCAACCAATGAGGTGGTGTGTATTGTTTACCTATGTGAACAAATTCATATAGAAACACTAGGTAAAATACTCAAATTTATAACATAGGACTCTTTGCATTACATTCGAGCCATGTCCAAATGGCCAAGAAAATTCATACTGTAAATAAGAACAATTATTTAGTAGCCCCAAAGCACCAACTCACACCACATACTGTAGATAAAATAAGATGTTTGATTACATAATCATCAATTTCTCGGCTTTATAATTACTTGCAACGGATGAAGTTTCTGAGTGGTGAGCCCTAGTGTATCAACATTTTCTTCCTCCCCATCTTTGAGTCTCCACTCAAACTCTTGTACAAATCTACCAATTGCAGTGCAAGCAATTAGCATTGCTTGAAGAGAACCTGCACACACCCTCTTTCCGCCTCCAAAGGCCATTGTCTTGTGCAAATCCATGACATCAGATTTCTTGTCAAGAAATCTCTCAGGGTTAAAATCTTCAGGATTCTCCCATTGTTTCTCGTCCATGTTACACCCATAAATGTTGACAGCAATCTACGTACACAGAATAGTTCAGGATTAAAATAGCAGGCAAGAAGAATATAAATCGCAAGAGGAGAAGTGAAGAATAATCAACCTCACTCCCAGAAGGAACATAGTATCCTCCTAGTTGTGTGTCTTCGTGGACATATCGCATAGGAATTATTGGAACAGGACTGTGCTTTCTCAATGTTTCATGGAACACCGCATACAAGTATGGATGCTGACACAACTTTTCCTCTGTAATATTCTCAGAGCCACAAACGCTTTGAATTTCTTGATAGAGACAATCCTGTCCGATTCAGTCAAAATATCAAGCAGTGTTACATGAAAAAAATAGTCAGAAAAAAAAGCACTTGCATTCTCTAAACAGAGTGATACATATAATAGTTTAGAGACTGAAACAACCTGCAGCTTTGGATTCTTTGCAAGTTCATACATGGCCCATTCTGTTGTGACCAAAGTAGTGTCCGATGTTTCAATAATCACCTCCCAGAGCAACATAGCCACTTGTTTCTCTGATAGTGTTTTTGCTTCGGCTAACAAGTAGTTGAGATAAGAATTCACTTCCTGGTTTAAATCCCACGCAAGCTATGTAACTATTAGGCCACGACACCACTTAAAAAGTTCAAAAAGAATGTTTAGTTAAGGGCGAAGCAATGGTTACCTCGCCAGAAGCAACTCGTTTACTATGCTCCCTAATCAGGGCTTTCATCAAGGCTTGCCTACGGAAATCCATTTGCTGGATTTTCATTTCAAAACTTTTGTTTGGAATCCATTTGAAGTATGGGAAGAAGTCTCTCCAATCTACATCGATTGCACCTGCCATTGGGTCCTTCACTAAAACCTTGAATATCTCTTCTCTTGATAAAGTGGTTCCAAGCTCGTCCACATAAATAGATTCCACATCAGTCCCCAGAGCCTGAAAATCGCATTACATTTCTCTGATTATTCTTAGTTTTACCTCTCACAATTCCCAGTACAAGATTTTAAAACGATGAGTATTAATGAAAAAAACTCACTTCTTTCATTGCTAATCCAAAAAGTTCAGATACAAAGATTTCCCTGAAGGATACAGCTTGAAGAGGATAGTCTTTCACATGAGCATGGAATTGCTTTGAAGCATTATCTATCAAGGTGTCCCTGAGGCCCCTGTGTCGCTTCTGTATATTGAGAACATATATTTGTAAAATGTACAAAAACAAAAGATGCAAACAAAAGCAGTATTTTAGTACAACTATGTGGCACGAACCTGCGCATTTGGTCCCAAAACATTTGTCAGTATATGTCGCTTTACTGTTTTGTGGAAATCATCATAATCACTTGTTGCAACCATGCATTTATCAGCAGTGAGAATCTTTAGGGCATTTGATAGCTTTCTTGTTGAGATGGATGAGAATCTGGTTACCATGGCCTAAAACAAACCAAGAAGACTGTAAGTTGCAACATACAATTGTATTCTCCAACCAACTATTGGAATGGAAATTAAGAATCCACTATAAGATAGAGAAAAAAAAAAAAAAACCTCAATTTTCTACCAAATTGGCGCCTTTAAAGTGCTAGTTTAAGTTTCATTCAAGGGTAGTGGCATGATTCATATGAAGATGATTAGGTTTCGTTATCTAGCATAAATACTTCAGTATAAGAATTATTAAATGCGAGAATATGGGTCAAAGTGTAAGATGCATTAAGCATGTCGTTGGTGGCGTAATGGACAACTTTTCTTTAACTAAAAAACACAAGATTGTTTTGATGTCTCAAAATCAACTATTTCCTATGTGCCTTTCTCCTTCCATGTAGTACAGTCAGTTGGCCTTTTTGCCCGGCCCTAAAATATATATCGTTTTGAAAAATAAATTTAAGAATCATTTTATTTGGACTGTGGATTTGTTTTCTTGAGAAAAGCTTGTCATGTTGTAGAACAAGATCATAAAGATCATGGAGATTTTTAAAAAACTCTTATTTATTTTTTATTTTTTTTAAGCAACAGGAAAATGACTTTGTTCAAAATAAAAGGTCAGCTGGCCTACATAGAAGAGAGATTATCACCTCATAGCGGAAAATAAGAACTCCAACTACTAGACTCAGTGAGAAAGGGCTCCCTTAGCAGAAATGTGCAACGACATTACGTTGCCTTACAATAACTAAGCACTGCCTGTTCTGGTCAAAATATTTTGAAATTCCTTCTCGATTTATACATGACCATATAACCCAAAAGCTCCCATTCGTTCCATGGAACAAGAATGCTCAAATGCTTGAAAAGGAAAGATGGTGAGTCATGGTAGGTTTTCAGGTAGTCAGAAGTATAGGTATGATTAAAACATCTTTTCATGAACAATAACAAAATCCTCTAACACAAGCCATGGTAGATTTTCAGGCAATCTTAGTATTTGAGCCACAATTAAACAGGGAAGACAGGTGTCTGCTATGGTTATGGTCGCAACAGGCCCTGTTCTGACCAAGGGTGCGGCCTATTTTAGGGCTGTCGAAACAATTTAAACCGTTTATTTTGTAAGAATTGAGTAAGTCATTCATTTGAAAAATTAAATTGATCAGACGTTGATTAGAAGATCCATTCTTAAAATTACAATTGTCATCTAGTTTCTTTTCCAAACAAAGGTAATCTGATCATATGGATGTTTAAGTCTGATTAATTAATTTTATTTATTTTTTACATAAATAATCTATTCGATGTGTTTTACAAGACAAACAATTCGAATCATCTCGACAAACCCCAAATGAACCACACCCTTGCTCACGGCAGATGGTTGTGCCTTGGTCACAGCCAACACCCCAAATATGTAAGGTGTCCATAGTGATCTATGAAACATGGATACGTCGAAAAACATGTCGTACCCGTACCAGGTACTTACTGTGTATAGTACCTCGTATGGTACTTTTGCATACATACGGGTCCATGAAACACCTACCCACATTTTTTCTTCTTAATTTTTTATGTACTCAGATGTACCTACTATATACCCAAGCCGTACCGCACTTTAGTTAAAACAATATTTTCTTCTACTACAAAGATGAAACACCTTTCACTAGGCTTCTTTTTTATTTTCAGTTTTATACATAACATGTTTTTAAAATTAAACAATGATTGGTAAGTTATTTAATATATTGATATTTGATTTTAATTTATACTTTTACTTTTGGCATTAAATGTTAATTGTTAACAAATTAAATCATTTAATTAATTTTTACATTACTCTAAATCATAGTTGTCAAATCGAGATTCGTATCGTGAATCGAAATGATCTTGTACCGAATCGCGAATCGAATCGAATCGTGAATCGTAAAGATTCGGTCACTTTTTTAAAATTACTTAAAAATATATATTTACACATTTAGATGTTAAATATATTAAATGTTAATTGTTAACAAATTAAATCATGTAATTAATTTTTACATTACTCTAAATTAAAAATAAATATTTTTTTACAAGCATATCAAGCCGCATTCGTACTTTTTTTTTTTTAGATTTTATATACCTATCGTACCAACACTCGTAACCGTGCTTTATAGATACTGATAACATTTTTGCTTCCTACAATCACACTCATTGACAAACTTAAATGTGTTTGGGTATGTAAATGAGTGTAATTGTAGCAATGTAAATCACAAGATCAAACTGCCTTTGGCATTTCTGGAACAGAGGGAAAAGAGAGAACCGGAGGAGGGAGAGAGAGAGGTTACCTCCTTGGCAACGTCGGTGTTATTGAGGACAACGATGATGTTGGCACCAGTTCTGATAGAATAGACTGGACCATAAGTCCTGGCCCATCTGGTGAAAGTCTTGTGGGGTTTCTTCTCCTTCAGTTGCAGCAGATTCCCAATCACCGGCAGACCCGGTACCTCTGCATGCATCCGTACATACTCAAATCAAATTAATCAACCAATTATTTCTAATTTTTGCAGTAAAAATAAATAAATAAAGTAAAAGAGTAGAGGAAGGAGAGGAGGAAGCAGTACCAGGTAAAGGTGGGAGATTAGAAGCTCTCCTCTTTTGGTTATAAACATAGCCTTTGATCAACCACAGTGAAAGGCCACCAAGAGCAACCGCGGGACCAGCCATCGCAATGGCGGTTCCCAAAGGCAGTGTTTGAAGATCCATGATTGCATCCATTAATGCCATTGTTGATTGATAAAAGAAGGAAGAGATAAATCTCTCTTATGGGTTTTCCTCTGTATTTTTTTATTTATTTTTTTATTTTTTGGATCTCAATGAAAGGCAATAGACATATATATATATATATCTATATTAGGGAGGTGGGGTCTGAGTAGGTAGAGAGATAGGGAGTGATGTATGGGTTCTATTGGGGAAAAGAAAGAATAGTTTTGGAGATTGATACCCAAAAGTTACCTGAAGAACAAGACGAAGGAGAGGGCCTGGGTTTTGTCGTTACTAGTGTTGGGGATGGTGATAGAATATCCGGTTTGTGTTTAAGACAAGATGGCAGCATGACCAGCGGCAGAGGATAACGGCAAGCACCCCCTCTCCACACAACATAACAGAACTTCGGCCTTCGACCCACACCACAAATTGGATTTTGAGTGGGTGCTGGTCTGGCTCACTCACCTCTCTCTCCCCTGATCCTATCTCTTAACGGCGGTCTATATATATTCATTAATAAATGAAATAATGTTATGTGATTATTATTAATCTTCTCTATTATATAAATTATAAACAAAATGTTAGAGACTCTAATATTGTATTTGGTTAGGAAATTTCAGGAGAATTTTAAAAAGGAAAATGAAAAAGTTAAGTGAAATGTGAATAAAATATATTTATATTTCACATAGTTTGACACACATTTTTCTTTTATCTTTCTAAATTTCTTTTCAAATCCTCCAACCAAACACAACATAAAAATTCTATCAAATGTGTGTAGGACTCACATAGAATCTATGTGGGTTGTAAAAATTTTGATAGGATTTTTAAAATTTCTATAATTACACAATTATAAAGTACTCAAAATTTTTAAAATTATATCATATTATCTGTTAATATTTTAATTAATATATATAGTGTTATTGATATCTTTATTTATCTCTAATGATCTCGTATGCCTTTTTTGGATTCGAATCCTCTCGTATTTGCACAAATTATTATTATTATTATTTTTATTCTCTATTTTTATTGTCTTACCAACTAAGTAAACATTTAATCTCTTTCTATTTATCAAAAAATTATTACTTGGTCCTAAGATATTAATTCTTATTGAAAAATTTAATTTTTTTAGTAGTATAATTATTAGATTTTAAAAATATGAATCTTCCAAAATTAGTACAATTATTACATTTCAAAAATATTAATGTTAATTAATTTAAAAGAAGAGTACAATAGGAAATTTATTTTATTTTAGTCGGTAATTTTTTTAGTTTACTAATATTTTTATACAATAAAAAATAAAATAATAGACTAATAATTTGAGACGGAATGAGTAGATAGTTTTGTATTATAGTGGAGTTTTTAACAAGTGATTTTTTTAACTACATCATTAGTTCGGACCGCCATGCAAATAATGTTACATAATATTCTAAGAGTACCCATTAATTACTACTAATTGATTGAGCATGCATGAATTTCGCACAACCCATACTAATTAGTCGAGGCCAGAGATTGCTCGGAACATGGGACGTGTTGTGCCTCTAAGGCAAAGCACGGTGCTCTGAGGGCTCATGGGCCTTCCCAAGCTTATATCGTTGATCTGAATCGGTCATATTATAGGATTCATTAAGTAGAATATTTATAAAAAAAAAAATTAAAAAAAAATCAAAAATCAAATAGGTTTGAGTAGCTGCTGGATTGACTCACTCATCTCTCTGTCTCTCATGTTCCTTTCTCTTGATGTTCTCATATGCCTTTTTGGATTCAATCCTCTCGATTTTGACAAATTATTATTATTATTATTATATTCTATCTTTATTATCTTACCAACTAAATAAACATTTAATGTCTTTCCATTTATCAGAAAATTATTATTCTTCTTGTCTCAAAATATTAGTCAATTTTGAAAAATTTAATTTTTTTGATAATACAATTATTACATATTAAAAATATTAACATTTTAGATTATCCTTTGATAATACAATTATTACATTTGAAAAATATTAATGTTAATGAATTTAAAATAAGGATAAAATAAGAAGTTCATGCTATCTTAATTGTTAATTTGTGAAAACGGACTAATATTTTGGGACAATAAAAAACAGAATAAGATACTAATATTTTGGGACGAAAGCAATATTTTTCTATCTTTATTATCTTACCAACTAAGTAAACATTTAATCTCTTTCTATTTATCCGAAAATTAATAGATAGTTTTGTATTAGGGTGGCTTACATATGGTGTTTCGAGCAATTGAGAAATGTCAACTCATATAGCAATTGAGAAATGTCAACTTATACTAAGAAGATAATTGGGGATGGGCTAAGCCAAAAGAAAAAAAAATAAAACAAAACAAAACTCTATTTGTCATCAGTTAAAAAATAAAAAAATAAAAAACCATTACACATTTCTACACACAGATTATAATTTTCTAGCAATTTTCTAAACCCACAAACTTTTTTAAAAGTTAATAAATTACAAAACAACATCAATTTCAAATTATCTCATTTCTTATTTCCTAACTACGTAGTGGGGAGCCATCATGTTATGCAAATGAAATTTTGAACTACATCATTACTTCGAACCGCCATGCAAGTAATGTTACATAGTATTCTGAGAATACCCATTAATTACTCCTACTGGTTGGGCATGCATAGACTTCTCACAACCCATAATAATTAGTTGAGGCCAGAGATCGCCTAGAACAGTGACGTGTGTTGTGCCTCTAAGGCACAACACAGTGCTCTGAGTGCTCATGAGCCTTGTCTTGAACCCATATCGTTGATCCAAACCATTTATATTGTGGAATTTATTGAGTTGATTATTCATGCAAAAAATCAAATTTATTGAATATTTGTAAACTCAAAAAAAAAAAAACAAACAAACAAACAGAGAGAAAAGAAGCACATTTAATTTGTTTTTAAAAATATATACGGTTAGAATAATTTTGATCGTTTATTTCAAAATAGTTCTTAATCATGAGGTTCCACATGTCTCACTAACTTTTTTTTTTTTTTTTTTTTGTGGATAATTTATTCGACGAACCCTACAATATAGACGGTTCAGATCATTAAAATAAATCTAGGACAAGGCCCAAGTGGACCTCACAACATGCGTGTTGTATCACAAGGCACGACACACTCCCCCAATCCGAGATTGCCCATATGTTATGAATGGTTATAAAAATAATCTAGATCAATAAATCTTAATTTCAAATTTAAAAGCAATTAAAAAAGCTCTAATACATAAAATAGGATGTTAATTATAGACAAATAATTTTGCATTTTGATGACCAGAGATTTCAATTCTATTTGTGGCATGGAGGGTATCAAAATCCTCTCTTTTTTGCCAAATTGACTTTACATATATATATATATATATATATATTGGCACCAATTGATTTTACATTTTGATAGTAAGATTTAGAAAGTGGACATCTACATCATTTTTCTTATTATATATCACCATGAAATACGTCACCTACTATAGGTTTCTAATGTAATATAAATTTCATTATTTTTTAAATATGACATGTCCTTTACATACCTATAATTTTTTTACATAAATATATGTGTTAAAAAATAATAGGTTTTTGACAACTTTAATTAGAAATTACATGGGATCCAATTGTCGGTTGAAGTGAGTCTGAGTGATTTTGTATTCTCTTAAGTAAGAAGATTGCAATAAAAAAATAATGAGTCAAAACTATTAAATTATAAATGAGAATTGTCTCATAAAGTGGATATCAATAAAGTTGGATTTAGTCTTAGTTTGGATTTAGTCTAGACTTGTACTTGTACATGTGCTGAGTTTGGTCTGTCTTAGACTTGGACTTGAACCTAATCTTGAGCTTTAAGCTAAGCTGTGCTGGGTTTAGACTTGGGTTTGGATCGGGTTGTGACCCAACACCCGTATTTATTTTTGCAACCCATCTAATTTAATTCTCAAAACTTATACATTATATACTCATTATGATTTATAAAAAATGGGTTTTGGAGTTTTGACCTTTTGGTAAATCATAATGAGTATGTAATAATAAAAAATGGGTTTTGGAGTTTTGAACTTTTGTAACTCTAGCCTTTTCATCGAATTACATTTGCATCTAAAAAAATATTTGGTAAATGCGATTTGAAATAATAATAATAAAAAATGCATGTAAATGCAATGCAATAAAAATTTTATCGATATCCAATCAACTTGACCTTTTACATGTATGCTCTGCTCGATCTACTCTAAAAAATGAACTATTTAGTTTATTAAAATGGGTTTCAAAATGAGCCCCAAGACCTGCTCAACCGTGACTGTTGTGCCTCCACAAAGTAGTCACTCCCAATCCCCAATCTCATTATAAATCCAATAATAAATATGTTTCTATTTTTATTTTGCTTACAAATTTTAAAATTATAAGATTTCACATTAAAAATGAGGGAATCCCAATCTCCAATCCCAAAATAAATCGAATGATAAATATATTTCTACTTTTATTTTGTTTATAGATTTAAAATTAAAAAATTAAGGAACCGCAATGCACTCTCAATTTGCTTATTTTGGAATATTATAAACCCTAGATCAGCCACTTCTTGTCTCATTGTTTTGTTGTTTTGCCTCTGTATATGTCCGATTCTTGAATGCAAGTGCTCGTTTGAATCTCGGATGAATTTTTGGAATACAAGGACAACTTAGTACTTGATGGACATGATAGGTGATGGACACTGACTAGGGCCGGGGTCAGGACCAATTGAAGGTCAACACGTGGATGGAAAAGATTAAGTGGTATTTTGAAAAGTAAATAATTTTTTTTTTTTTATTTTTTGACTTTTTTATGTTAAAAAAATTCGCTATTTTGTAATTTATTTTGACATTTTTATGTAAAAAAATTAAAAAATCAAAAAGTTATCTTTTTTTTGAAATTCCTAAAACACCATTAAGGTTGTTTTTTATAGGGCAAATTACAAACACCTCCCTCGAGATTTGGTAAAAATACAGATTCCCCCATGAGATTTGAGAAATTACATCCCGCCCCCTGAGGTTTATATTTTCATAAAAAATTGCCCCTTGAGGTTTTTATTTTCATACAGATTCCCCCCTAATTTGTTATGCAAATTTGACCTTCAGGGGATAATTTGTAATTTTTCAAACCTCATGGAGAAATCTGTATTTTCACCAAACCTCGAGGGAGGTGTTTGTAATTTGTTCTTTTTTATACTATGGATTTCAAAAGAGCAAATAAAAGGTAAGAAAAGTGTGAATGAAATATAAATTGTATTTTTACTCTATTTTCCTTTTCCTTCCACGTTCGTGTTGAAATTTATCATCAAAGCGCAACTTCAAAAAATAAAAAAATAAATAAAGGGATGGCGCTGGCCTAGTTGAAGATCAACTAATTTTGAGCAGAGAATTGAGTTAGGAAGTGAAGTTCGAGCATTTCATGACTCGCGGATTCCAAAACATGTCACTTTCAAATGAATCGGTA